ACCAAGAAACTTAAAAAAATAAACATAAAAATACTAAAAAACACAGTTCTGGTTTTGTTTTTGTTCTGCTACAGATGTAGCTCTCATGGCTTGCAGCGAGTGAAAGGGAATGTTCAGTTTGCCAGCAATTTTTTTTTTTTTTTTTGCTTTTCACCTTTCTGGAAAGATACAGTAAAATAGGACTAAAGGGGATTTTGCAGGTGATGATGTCTGCAACCCCTGATTTTAGGCAATAAATCATGACCCCTAGTGCCTTACCTCTGCCATGCTTTATTAATCTTCCACTCCATATTTTCTTTCATAAGAAAATGAATAATGTTTTTAATTTTTTTAATCTCTATCAAAACTAGGGAACATTAGATCTCAGCCATCCCAACCTGACATTCATCTAACCTACTTTAACAACTTTGGGGGAGAGCAAACAATACATATTTTCCATTAATATTTGTATAGCTATTCTATTATGCTACTTTTCTTTGTGTTTTTCATTTAGAGTCAGATGTCTCCACAGGAGATGGAAGTGTCAGTAACTCGAATGAAAATCTGGAACAGAGCTGTACAACCAGTGATTCAGGTACATTTCTCTTCTGTTATTATTTAGTAATTGCAAAGTAAGGTCTGGGGGAAGTACTCTGTGAGTGGGTTAAAACAAAACTCAGTGGAGGGCTTTCTTTCACTGTAAACTCTAGTTCACTGTATTTAGATGCCTGACTTACTCTTTGTTGGAAAACAGATTCCATTTTTAATTGTCTGGACCTAAGTCCTAGCCCCAAAACAGTCGATTTACTGAAATCATCTGAACAGGGCTCTAGACATCATCATTGTACAAACTGGTCAGCGAGGCAGAATGATGAAATCACACAGGCTGAAGGGACTAGAAGTCATCCAGTGCAGTCACCTGGACAGATATTCATAATTCTGCCACACAGACGTGTTTCTTTTACTCTCAGAGAGGAGCTAGATTGTGCCTGGCCCCCACATAGGGTGAGAGGGAATAAGAATGTTTTAGAGGCTGTGAAAGAGCAGAAGCATCTTCTGAGTATTTGCAGAACAATAATGAAGGTCCACTTTGGACCCAAGGACTTTAGCAACCTTATTTGTAAAAGCAACCTAAGCAATGGGGGATTGGTATCCGAAGATCTTTGTGAATCTCACATGTAAGCATGTTCTAAATACAGTTTAAAACTAGATATTGGACTGTATCTAAATGATACTTAGCAGACAGGTATTATCTTGCTATGTATGAAGTCTGACCCAAACTATACACTGCTATTGTAGAAGTGTCCCAGTACTCTTTTTGTCTTTTTTTCTTCAAACCTCAGGCAAAACAAATTGGGAGTTGTCCACCATGGTGATCAGCCTGTTTACCTATATAGAATTCAAGAACTACTTTTTGGAATCTAGCCTTTATAACATTTATGCTGGGACTATGTCTTGTACAAGGGCTAGAAAATATCTGAACACCTTTCAAGCCAACAGGGCCTAATAAACCTACTATTACATCATTAAGATCACTTTAAGTGTTATATATCCTATGCCTGCCAAGTATTTATTATAAATAGTTTTAAAATAGTTTTAGGCTTTTAAAGTATTAAAATCCACATATTTTGTAAGTACACAGAAAATTCAGGATAGCTCAGATCTAAATTGCTACACTACAGCTAAGATTATAGTCTGTGTGTTGCTAAATCCAAAGAATTTACTTTGCATTTCTTTAGCAACTGAGGACACTTATCAGTCACATTGTATTTTTTGACTCACTCTGTCACATGAAATGTGTGGGCATGGGAACTTCCCTGCTCTGTGGACAGGCTGGCAGACTGTATCAATTGCTCAGGCTGAGCCAGGCTCGTGACATTTGGCAGCACGTATGTATGTATGGCTTCATCCTTTAAGATTCCTCAAGTGTCTCTCCAATTGTCTGTCCAGTTGAGCTAACTGGGCATTTGCTGTGTCCAGTAATCCAGGAAAAAAAAACCCAAACACTGCAGTTTTGTGAAGAATGGAGAACAGATTTTTTTCACAGTGTTTATTTCCTATATGTTCTGTATACATGTGGCTTTTAAAAACAACTAGTTTAAAAGTTTTTAGTCCATGCTTTTTAGTCATGTATGGTAAATTCAGTGAGAGCAATAATGAGAAAAGGAATGCAAGAAGATGCAAATGCGCTATTAATGGATTTTATAATTTGAAATTTTGCAGTAAGGCTGTTTGAATGGTGTTGCTACACAGTGACATGATGTGGATTTTAATGCAAAGAATCATGCGGATTCAGCTGCATTTTTATGTGCAAGGTTCATTTCACATTTTAAAATTGTTATAGGTAGGACAACAGAATCATTATCATGTTTCTTTTAGCCCAGAGCAGCAATTGAATGTAGACAACTTCCCAAATGTTATAATGTGCATGATGAAAAATCTTTAAGTATTTAATTCTTTAATCTGTGAAAAGATTCCTGTATTAGCCTTTATCTAAACAAGGGCTGAAGAAGCTAGGAGAGAGCTAAGTTAAATATTTTTCAGGCCTGGTCTGTTAATTGAGGATGTTAAGGAACTGAAATTTAACCAAACAGATGGGTGATAAAGTGCTAGTTTCAATATGATTGAGCTATTGAATTTAGCCAACCAGAAAGCAAACAATGTTCTTCCTCAAAAGAGAGTAGTAGAAGTCAGATTAAGTAACAGCAAGTACTCTCTGGTGCAAATGTCCCTGTGTCCAGGTAGCACTGCACTCACACTAAAAGGCAAAACAAGCAAAAAACACTTTAGAATGGCATTCAGATGTTTCCATCAGCAGTGTTTTATCAAGCTTCATTACTTTTTGTTAGTTTAATTTTATTTAATGGAATCAGGAATACTAGAAAAATATACTTACTTTGTGTGTAATGTATCAGTGATAATAAAATCCTCATGATTCTGCATTGAATGGTATCATCAGGAAACAAAACTAGGGTTTTTCTCCCCTCATTTTTAATCTAGTACAATGAATTTGTGCATTTTCTTCAAGGAGGGCAGTTAATACTTGAAGAGTGATCTAAACTTATTTGTAGGGAAAACACCCCATGAAAACTCAATTGAAATAAATCCTTCTGATAGTAAGATGTATATACATTAGCTCTGACTCCCTAAATATATGTAAACTCTGAGACTTGATATGCATTTCTTACTGCTCAAAATAATTCAACGGCATTTTTCTTTCACTTTTACGGTTAGAACATTGTTTCTTTTGTGAGCCATAGATCTAAACTCTACCACTACACTTTCAATAAGAGATTGAAGGCTTTGGCCTTAGGTGGCAGATGTATGTGACTTTCTAATGAACATCCAATTGCATTATGTATGTGTCAGGCTAAGAAGCAATGTAATCTACCATGAGTAGGTGTGATACATTCTGCAGTTAGCTCCATCTTGTATGGGCAATTGAATTTTCTTATCTATTTGGTCTTTATATTTTATAACTCCCTCGACCATTTTTAAGTATTCCATATATTTTTTCTTTCTATGGCTCCATTTTTCATTCTCTGGGAAGTATTTAAAAAGGTAACTCCTTTGTAACCAAATAAATTTCAGTGTCGGTGAAGGAGAACATCACAGAAGCTTGGCTAGGTTATAAATACTGCAGCTCCAAACACAGCCTTTGTTGGTCCCAGTGCTACTGAACTTTATTATTTGAATTTATACCTAATAGCAGTCATTTCAACATAGATGAGTGAAACTGTTCTGTGGCAGTTCCACCTGCCCTGAGTGGTGACTGAATGGAAGCAGTTCTGATCCAGAGTTGCACAGGTCCTCAGAGCAACATTGTCTATACCAGTGTGCTGTTTCTATTCAGAAGTTGCTTCTGATAGTAAATTAATATTTTTCCTTTTGACATTCTGATACATGTTCTGTGCCTCCTGTTTGAAACTTGTATTTCGTTGTACCCTTAGATGAAGATGAAGTGGAGAGGAGAGCCTCACCTGAGCCAGATCTGACCCTGAGAGATTACCAGATGGAAGTGGCAAAGCCAGCACTGAATGGGGAGAATATTATAATATGTCTCCCTACAGGCAGTGGTAAAACCAGAGTGGCAGTTTACATTACCAAAGATCACTTGGATAAGAAGAAAAGAGCATCAGAGCCTGGAAAAGTCATAGTACTTGTTAATAAGGTAAGTTGGTCCATTTTTTAGAGAATACTATTTTTCAAACATCATGCATTGTTAATAAAGACATTGTAAAATTAATATAAACACAATTCTCAACTTCTCCAGGTGTATTGTGTTTAAAGACAGATCTAGACTATAATCTCCATTGCACCATCAACCTTGTGAAAGCTCAAATTATGTACTACAGCGAAAGTGCAAATTTAGATGTGTTGTAATAACCATATTATTGGGAAAAGTACAATTTAATTTTGTAATGAATTTTGAAAAATAAAAATATTTTTCACATTCTGTGTTTCAATTTTTTAATGAAGGCCACCTAATGAGTCTCACAGTAGTTAAGGAATGTTTTGTCAGATTTTCTGATAATTGCTGTAATTTTTGCAGTTAAATTTAGCACATATAAATTAATCTTCTATTTTAATATTAAAATATAGAAATACATTAAAGAATTTTATTGAAATTATAAACAGTATTCATATCCTCTTATAAGATAAATATGAAAGCAGTTTATAAATTCAGTTAAATGGCCGGAGCATGCATGGTTTGTTCTTTCTATCAAAGGCTCAGTTAAGCCAAAATTCTTGGGACAAAAAGATTTCACAGGAGAGGTTTCAGGGGAGAAATTGGTTTGGGGATTTTTGCTGCTTAATTTTATTTTGTTCATCTAACAACATTTGTGGCAAACAGGCATGTATTTTTAAACTTGTGTTTAATATGTTTTAAATTATTTGAAAACTTTTGTTCAGGTTCCGCTGGTAGAACAGCATTTAAAAACAGAGTTTAGTCTATTCCTGAAACGTTGGTATCAGGTTATTGGTTTAAGTGGTGATTCTCAGCTGAAAATCTCATTTCCTGAAGTTGTCAGAAGAAATGATGTCATCATCAGTACAGCACAGATCCTTGAGAACTCACTTTTAAATGCATCCAAGGAAGATGAAGAAAGTGTCCACTTATCAGGCAAGTATTTTATTCTGAAATTTTTACAGAGGGTATAAAAGTATGTCTCTATTCTGGAAAATTGCAGAGTAAAAATGTGCCACATTCAATAGGATTTTTTTTCGATTTACTCATTTTATAAATACAAGCTGTAGTCAAAATCAGATCTCGATTAATAAGCATGCAGGCCAAAATTAGACTCTGTGGTTATTTGTACTAAATACTTGCTATGCTTCCTATTTTATCTAAATAAATTCTTAAGAACAACTTTGTTCAAATGCAGTTGTACTGATTCCACTTTCCAAGCTTGGTAGAGCATTGAGTCATATCACATAGAAGCCACATATAGGATGAGAAAAAAAAACTATTAAAACTCAAATGCACTTGATAGTTTGAGAAGTACAGTGGAACACAAGATAAAAGCTAATCTGTTGTGAAAGTTATATTCTTTAAACCCTTGTAATTTTGCTAATATTTAGTGATATGGTGGCTTATAACTGTCTCTCTGAGCTCAGCAGATATAATGGTTTCCTACCATAAAGGAAGTTGAAGAAAGCAAAAGATAAAGAAGGCGAGATTGTTTTCCCAGAATACTGAAGTGGCAGGTATCTCTGGGAGATCAAAAAGGAAGTTGTATTATCTGGCAGTGAGGTACAAATAGAACAGCCCATGAGGTCAGCTCTGGGCCTGGGCTGCAGTGATCTTCCTCTATTTGCCTGCAAACAACTCCTTTTCAGATGGTGAAGGATGTAGGGGAGAGATGTGATATTTAAAATAATAGCCTTGAGATAAAAGTATTGGTCTGGATGTCACAGAGACAGCAGAAAAACCTGAGGGGTTGGTCTGTGTCTGTCAGTGCCTAGTGCTGACTGGGGTACTGCTTGATCCAAAATGACTCCTGCAGAGCCACTTGGGTACCTCAGAATTGCATTCCCCTCTTCAGAATGCCTTGTTATTAACCTAGGCAGAGTACCAGCAATTTTCTTAAACTTATTTCCTCTCCACTATATCTAAGTTAATAAACTTTCCTACAGCTGAATAATTTTGGAATGCTGTATGGAGGCATCTGAACATTTCTACTGGAACTGCTGGCCTGTTTCAAATTGGGCTGAGTCCCAACCAGATTGTGTAATGAAGTGGGTTGAATGGGTTTCACACTTTGTGAAGTTTCCTTCATAAGGAGCTACATTTTTTCCAGAACTTAGGCTGCCCTGCACCTCAGGGTTTTTTTCTGTGCTATTACACCTGTGCTCGTAGGTTCAGCTGGACCAAAGCCAAGCAAGCATGGGCACAGACAGCTCCATTTCTATGCCTGTGACTTGGTTAACTCTCAGCCTTTATAAATCATCCTAATTAGTTACAAGTTTTTTTCCCAGAAAAATGAGTTACAAGTTTTTTCTGTGCCTACTTTTTTTATCTGTTTCCACAGAGGTCCACATTACACATAACATGGAATTCCAGCCTCAGCAGTGAAATGGAGGGGACTCTCTTAATTGCATTTTATCAAATGTTTACTCTCTTTACCAAGGGCTGAAATCACTGTGTGGACTTTCTAAATGCTGTGTATTCTTTCCCTTCCTTAGTAGAAGAAACACCTCCCTTCTGGAAGGTTAGTTTCTACACAAGTAATTATAGAATATGCATGATGGAGATGATGGTCAAAATCTAAGGGAGCAAGTTCATGTTCGCAGAGTAACTGAGAAACTACCATCACTGCTTCTAAAATATTACAATGTGTAGAAATCTTGGAAATAAGTAATAATTTAGATTTGAAACTACATCACTCCTGTCCAAACTGGCGTCCTAAACTGTGAAGGCAATCAGTTTTCCTCAGTGACATGGAGCACTGGCTTACTCCCAGCAGAAGTATTTAATGTAGCCTTTTTCATATAACTTCCCTTGTTTAGTCTCTGTCTTTCTTTAGGTTCTAAATCAGCTGAGACTGATTTAACTCTCTGTTAATTTCCAACTTCTGCTGCCAGTTGTTGAAAACTGACTTGTAGTGGTGCAACAATTTGATCACATCAATATGTTTACACATCAATGTGTAAACAAGACTGTGGAAATTGTCCACATAAAAAAATATAAGAGTTTAACCCTGATCATTTCAGTGATCTTCTTTACAGTCATATCCACAAACTGACTTCAAATTGTTGGAAACAATGTGAAATTAGTTACTGGCCAGCTACAGAAGGACTGGGAGCTTCATGAACCAGTTTTGCTGCTAGAGAAACAAAAATGTTCTTGAATCTTTCAGCTCAAAACCTTGAAATAAATGTCACTGACTGCATGTGCAGAAAGATTAAAGATATATTTTCTATATCTTTTGAGAAATTTGAAACAAAAAATAATTTTATTTTTCTTTCATGTATAGTATATTGTTTGCATATGAATATACCCTGACCAAAAAGCACATACCTGTCTGAATTTCCATCAGTTTCCTCCACTACGAAAGAGAGATGAGCAGTTGTGCTCCCACTAATCTTTGTTTTTTCCAATAACACATCCATAAAGTAATAAAAATCTTTTAACTGGACACTAATAGGGAGGAAATCTATGTGTTGCTACAAAATGGAAGCATATTTTGACCACAACAAGCCTTTCAAGAATGTCTGAAAGGCTTCTAACATATTCTGTATCTTCTCAAAAGCAAACAATATGTAGTTTGTAAGACACAGTTGTGGATATGAAAGATAGTATTGAGTTCAACTATGATATATTCTTACCACTGGTAAGATATGAGAAATATGTCTCTGAAATTCTTTCTATAATCAGATTGTTTTTGCAAAAATGTAAAGTCTTTTTTTCCATTGCATGACATGTAAAACTACTTGGCACATCAGGACTGCAGCAAAGGTTCCAAAGTCCATTACATATATTCAGCATTCATCCACACCTTCCTCCACTACTTCAATTTCCTAGTACATTAGCCCTCAGACAAACTGATGGGTTCTTTTCAACACCATCCTTACCTGTTACAAGATTTAGTCACACAAATTCTGCATTTGAAATAGAATTATTCACTTTAAGAGTCTTTTTTTTTTCCCAGATTTTTCCCTCATCATCATCGATGAGTGTCATCACACTCAAAAGGAAGGTGTCTACAATAATATAATGAGACGTTACTTAAAAGAAAAGATGAAGAACAGGAAGCTGGCAAAGGAAAACAAACCACTGATCGCACAGCCTCAGATTCTGGGACTTACAGCCTCACCTGGTGTAGGAGGTGCAACATCCTACTCAAAAGCTGAAGAGCATATTCTGAAAGTAAATAGCCCTAACACTTACAAACCGTCAAAAGGATATTGTCTTGTTCAAGTAAAACTTTTGAAATCAGTTTTAGGCTCCAAATGGACAATCTGATTTTTTTTCCTTGTGTACATGGAAGTTCAGCTCATAACCATTAAAAAATAATGGAAATCCTTACACAAATAAAAGTTACTTTGCAGGAGGAGTAGGGTTACTGAAAAGGGAAGTTAATGATTCCTCACTTGAAAAAACTTCTCAAGATCAGAGGCAGAAAATCCACAATATAGTACAATTTTATGGTTACTGAAAGTCTTACTGCTCCATTGATGGCTTATAATTTACTGTGTATTCCTAAATACTAGAGACATAATGTATTTTATATCTGTATTTCTAGAGTGACTAAGATAAGCATTTTTGTGTCAAAAAAAGGAAAAATAATGTTGAACACTTAAACAAAGCAGAAACCACTTGTGAGATGCAGTAGCATACAAATGTATTTTATTTTTTTCAGTTAGAGTTACTCATTGGCGTTGCACAAACACCTAACTAAAGGTAGTCTGTTAAAGTCTATACCTAAAGAAACTATATTTTACTTGAAATAAAATGGTTTTGCATTAGTAGTAGAAAACTCTAATTTAGCCCAATACTGCAGTCAAAAGTCCTGACTAGTAAATTCTATTCTAATCTCCTGACTAGAACAGAACATGATATTGAATAAGTGAAGCCTGCAAGAATGTTTTATGCTGTACTGAAGTAGAAGAATTGCAAAGAATTTTGACACAAAAACTTGCTGGCAATGGAAAAAGCAGAAAATTCCTTTTCATCAACTCTGAATTCCTAGTGATAGGATTCTGGGATTTGTATCTGAATCTGTTATCTGAATATGCAAGCTGAAATATACAACTACCACTGATTACATTAAAAAGATCACCTGTCAGTCTTTCTTGACTGTTTTCTCTGCTCAGAATAATGTTATGGTTTCCCTTATTACTTAATGACTTACACCTATTTTCTCCTTGGAAAAGGTCAAAAGCAGAAAAGTCCAGTTCAGTTGTGCACTTAGCACAGAAATTCTGTGTCTTCCTGTTCCAGGAAAGATTATCTCAATTTTTTTTCTACTCTTATAACAGCCCTTACTTTTATGATGAATTCCTGGTATTTATTTTCTTTTTTTCTATTTCACCATTGTTTTTATTTATTTTGTACTCCAAAATCTATTCTTCCAAAGTACTGATGATATATTTTCCTTCTCAAAATATTTGGTTTGCATCCTGATCTACAATTTTTTTCCTGTGTGCAAGGATCATTTCTGGCCTAAAAAGTAACTTGTGCAGTTTATCTCAAATGTTTTTCAAAGACCTGGGCTTTCATGTGCTGATACTGCCTTTATCCAATTTTTATGGAAGAAAGTTAAGTTATATAAACGTCAATATCTAAATAAGAACCTCTGTTGTACTAATTCAGTTTTCATGTGAAAAAACTCATTCAATATTAAATAAATAACATTTTGTTTTCTCCCAGATCTGTGCCAATCTTGATGCATGTAGAATTATGACTGTTGAAGAGCATGCCTCCCAGCTAAAGAATCAGGTGAAGGAACCATCTAAGAAGACTGTGATTGCAGATGACAAAAAAAGGGTATGTTTTTTTCAAAATATGCCCTCAGTATTAAAGTTATATTTCCCTTTAAAAATGTCTTGTATGGTATCAAAAACTTTTGTCTAATACTCTTTTTCTATAGACTTTTTATGATCTAGAGTGCTAATTTGAATGTTGTTGCTTTTCCATTTCAAAAAGCATCAGTAAAGTCAAATAGAACTAAAATTTACTTATATCAGTTGAATTTTGAGTTATCTGTTCAAAAGGCCTTCTAAAGCTTAAATTTGTATTGAAGTGATGATACTTCATTTTTTTAAAAGTACTACTTCACAGTATAGTTTTTGTAATATTCTGAACTGTATATTTACACATCACAAAACACACTTAACAGCCTTTTGTCTTTAATTTAAATTTTAAAAAATTATTCAATGTGATACTAGCCAATGTTTTTGTCACCTGAAGATGGTTGCTTACTTTGCCTAATCAAATTATTTCTAGGATCCATTTAAAGAGAAAATTACTGAGATCATGACAGAAATACAAAACTATTGCCAGCTGCATCCAAAGCCTGAGTTTGGAACTCAGACATATGAACAGTGGGTGATCAGAGAAGAGAAAAGAGGTAACTGCAGAGCAAATGTACCCCAGATTTGGATTTCATTGCGTCGTTCTATACTAAGACTTTTTTTGTATTTTTGTTCCCTTCTAGCTGCAAAAGAAGAAAAACGCAGGGAACGTGTCTGTGCAGAGCACTTGAAGAAATACAATGATGCTCTCCAGATAAATGACACCATCCGAATGGTGGATGCCTACAATCTCCTAAATAACTTTTATAAAGAGGAGAAAAGTAAGAAGACAGTAAGGAGTGATGATGATGATGATGATGATAAACCAGCAGTATCAAAACAGGATGAAACAGATGAATTTCTAATAGGCTTATTTCATGGTGAGTTTGAAATACATTGTGATATTTAATATTTGAAATCCGTAATTCTGCACTAACATGGTTTGCATGGGCCCATTAGTTACTGCATCCTAGAGACTGCTGTGTTGTTTATTTTCACAGTACTTTGATATCCCACTTCCCACAGTTTTGAATCCATTAAGCAACATCATAGTGGGATCATATCATAATATGTAATAATGGTTCTTCAGCTCCCACCTAAAGGCACCTTTATTTTTGCTGCCAGTAAGTAAAAACTGTTTTCTGCTTTTATCCAGTGAAGTGTCCCTGAGGACACTCTTAACAGATACATAAAATATGTATTTCAGTAGTTACTCTTGGGGGGCAAAAGGTTGAACAAATGGAATACAAAAGTAATGAAATAATGAGTTCTTAACCAACCCTTTCTGCCAAAGTTTGTTTGTGTATATACTGAGAGAGTGCTGACTTTGAGTTAGTTTCAGGAAAAGAACATTTAGTTAGAGAATTAAAGAAAAGATTAAACTTCAAAGACCAAAGTTAGTTGCTTTTTTTCAGATCAGTCTTGGAACTAGAATTCATTCATGAATCTTTTTTACTCATTTTTTTTTTCTTTACTGCCTTTGCAATGAGAAAGAGCTAGACAAGTTTGCTTCTATCACCCATGGCTCTTGGGTGGTGCAAATGAAAACAGATTATACTGCAGTGTGACCCAGCTTCATGTATCCAATGAGCTAAAAATTTTTCTCACTATCATTGAGAAATGAAAAAAAAACGAACAAAAACTCTAGGTTAGATAATGTCAGCATGGTTTTAATGAATCTTCATACACGTCTATTCCCCCTTGTTTAGATTTTCAGTAGTGAGCTGTTGCTGAGAACCAAAAATTTAAACCAACTGAAAATGAAACTCAGTGTCATTAGTATAATTTCTAGTTGCTTTTACTTCTGCAGGTAAATGAAGTGCAAAGAACTTGTCAATGAAAAATAAATTCCATTTTGTTAGGATTTCACCACTGAGAGTGCTAGGAGTAATAGAAAAAAATCTAAAATTTCTAAGCATTAAGAGCAGAATTCATCTTTAGGTGATAAATGCCCTGGGGCCCTTAGTGTAGATTTAAGTAAGGTGGGAAACTGTGGGACTTTGTTACATTTATCTACTTTTTGTATGTGTTTCTATGATTGATTACATTCTAAAATATTAATAAGACTAGTCATAAAGTCACTGTCTAGGTGGAGTAGCAGTTTGTGGTACATCGACTATGATTGCCTTGGATTAGGTACGCTGCAATTGTCTGCACAGGGTCATGACATCAGAGTGTACTAACAAACCCAGTCCCTGCCTTGAAGTGTTCTGGTGTTTGATAATCATCTGATGGTTTTTAAATATTAGAAGTTTTTTAAAAAATTTAAAACACATGAGGAATCCTCCCTCCTTCTGGTCAATAGAGCCAGTTGAAAAGAGTCATTCATTTGACAGTTCACTGAGTGCATTGAAATGTCTTAGACCTGCAGTATCAATAACAACATGTCCATGCTAGAGTCTACTGTACTGCATGTTTCTAATGAGGATTCCTACTTTAATTCATGTCCAATGGACAATTTATATCTAAATTTATAAAAACATTACCAGCTCTGAGGCTGTGCATATTAATGTTTCTCCTTGTAAGACTTTCGTTCCGTGATTTTAAAATAGTTTTGTAAATATTAAAAGCTGTGATTTAGCTCTTTATTACAGTGCATTTGACTCTATACCAACTTTGTGTGTATAGACAGTTTTTTTCCTTTGGCTTATTCTCACCATGAAATATAGGCAAAGTGTATGATAATGGTGATTTCTTTTGGTTGATTAGTGTGTTTTTAGAGACTATAAACACACTTCAAAAATAATTCATATGCCACAGCTCTTCAAACTGAGTGTGAATTAGCCATGCTGGGAGAATTATATAGAAAGTTGTTATTTGCTTTGTGGGTTTTGGGGTTTATTTTGTTTTGCACTGTTGTTTTACATTGTTACATTTTCTTAATTTACATCTCTTCTTTTTAAAGCAAAAAAGAAACAGCTGAAAGAGTTGACTAAACAACCAGAAAATGAAAATGAGAAGCTCATGAAGTTGAGAAATACTTTAATGGAGGAGTTCACAAAGACTGAGGAACCTCGAGGAATCATATTCACAAAGACTCGTCTAAGTGCCTTTGCTCTTTTCCAGTGGATTAAGGACAACCCAAAATTTGAAGAAGTGGGAATTAAGGCCCATTATCTTATTGGCTCTGGACATAAGAGTGAAATGAAGCCCATGACTCAGGTATAGAACCATGCATATCAACATTACCTCTTGTACATGATTTTGGAAAACAGCTTGTCTTAATATTAGGCCAGTGAAATGAAGTTCGGAGCCCAGAGTTCTGGTTTCATACCTGCCAGCAACTTACCTTCATAAAGATATGTGAATAATAATGTTGGAATAATTTTATTTTCACAAGTAACAAGCTTTTTTGGTTCTTGATTCTATGGCAATAGGAGTAGGCAGCATCTGTTGCCTAGAGAAGTGTATAGTCAAAAAGAACCGAAGTTGTAGCAGGTCATGGGAAGCAAAAGTAAACAAAATGGAAAGAGCAAAAACACAATTAAATGAGTTTATACATTATATTTTAGCTGCTGAATTGAAAGCTGCTGAATTGAAAAGTAACACTACAAGGGAGATTATTCCTGTCTTTTTGTAGTATCACTGCTTAATTCAAATTACATCAATCTATATGCATGCTTCACACTAACACATAACCATTGATTATTCCTGTCTTTTTGTAGTATCACTGCTTAATTCAAATTACACCAATCTATATGCATGCTTCACACTAACACATAACCATTGAAAGAAAACTTGCCAAAATTGATACTACCAAAAATATTACAATTGATCACTTAGTTGTGTCCATCTTGTACCATTATGTTGATTTCATACATCACATCTCTCTGGTATACTTGCACTTAAGATATTTTCAAATCAAAGTACTTCACATCTCTTTTGTTCTGGTCTTTACTCCCCATACCAGAATTTAATCAAAAATGGTGTGTTTTAATGCTGGGCAGAGTCCATTTTCTTATGCTGCGCTGAGTTTCACGGAAAAAAGTTCTCTCAAAAAATTTTCTCCAAAAGTTGCTGGAATTCTATCAAACTTCAAATTTAATTTCTGTGGCACATTGCACAAACAAAACAATAGCATCTGCATTTTGAAAGTGAATATAGCAAATAGCAAGTTTCTATTCCTCTGCTCAAGCTGGTGACAAACACCCAGTTGATTCAGAAGTCTGTGATTTAGATCTTTTCTTTTTTAAGTGTATCACTGTTGTTCTTTTTGATCACCAGAGTTATGGTCTCCATTTATTATGGGGAATTTTAAGTGCTTTAGAACTAGAGCTGGAAGTCTGTATTTTAATCAGAAATTACTGAAGTGATAGAAATCCCGTCCTATGAGTAAGTACTTAAAAAAATTCAAAATAATAGAATAACTATATTAGCAAATCTTCTAGTACCTGTGACATAGGCTACAAAGTTCCAAGCCCAGGTACCATAAAAGGATTGTCTTCTGCTCCCTCCTCCCACAAAATACAGTGCTGAACTCCTGTTATATTCAATAGAAACTCCCATCTTTTGCAAGATGCTTAAATGCAGTTGTTAAAGCCACTTGATGTATGGCACTCAGCTCAGAAATGATGGGACTGTAATTCCTGAAAATCACTAATTGGAAGAAACTGGTAACAGAAGCTAATACTGAAAGTTAATTTGATGACCTTCATTTACAGAATGAGCAAAGGGAAGTAATTGATAAATTTCGATGTGGAAATGTAAATTTACTAATTGCTACTACTGTAGCTGAGGAAGGCCTGGACATCAAGGAGTGTAACATTGTTATTCGCTATGGCCTCGTCACCAATGAAATTGCCATGGTGCAGGTATGAGTTTTCTGCATATGTAACTTATTTTAATAATGCTTTTCTTTTTGCAGTGGAGAAATGGTGAATCATATACCTGACATTTAGAAATATTTTTTAAATACTTGAATGCTAAAAGAGAAAATGTTCTTGCAGCAAGGTTAATTTCCAATTTCATCCTCAGTCCGTATGTGATATAAACTTTGCCTCTCTGTAATGGTGTAGCATCTGTTCAAAGTTCTACAAAACATTAAGCTCTTTTAATAGAAGAGATACCTGAATATGATCATCAGACCAGTTGGTACAGGAGGCATTTGTACCACCAGTGTATGGACATCACACCATCATCAGCTAAAGAGAGATTATTACATATCAGAATATCAGTTTAATACATGCTCTCATTTAACTTGTAAACATAAGTATTTATATATTTAATATTTAAATGCATGCTTATATTTTGGCAACAAAATATACAGTTTTGGCATTGCAAAACATGCAAATCATGAATCTCCTGAACAGTTCTCACAGGTATCATGGATGATACTGAAGAAATAGTATGTGTTATCTACTGATTCTTCATCTGTCTGAGTTAAATGGAAAAGGCTGCACTCTGGGGATAGTGTATATGGAATAGTGCATGTCTTCCATTATAAAACTAGGAAAAATTGTTGTGTGATGTAATAGGGAGTATTTTGATGTTTATTTTTGTGTTCCTTGCAAATTATAGGCTCGTGGTAGAGCTCGGGCTGATGAAAGCACCTATGCTCTTGTTGCTTCAAGTGGCTCAGGGGCTGTTGAACGTGAAAGTGTTAATATTTTTCGTGAGAAAATGATGTATAAGGCTATTCAGCGTGTCCAGAAGATGCCACAGGAAGAGTATTTAAATAAGGTATTTACTGCAATTCTGCATTTTCCCTTTAAAGAAAACTGATTTATATTGTATGAAATACTTTCTATTTGAAATCTGCTTAGTGGAGAATAACTTAAAATAATATTAGTTACTACATATGGCTTTGAATTCTTTTGCCAATATTTGTTTTATCATTTGTTTTTTTGTCCTTTTGAAAGGTCTGGTTTTCTGTTGGTAAGGAGAAAACACACAAGCAAGGGAAAATTGTCTAGAAGTCATGTTGACAGTGAACTCAGTAAAATAACTGAGAAAGAAAACTCTAACTGTCATTCCAGCAGAATGTTTGAGTGCTCTTACTGATCTATTTCTAGATTCAGAGTTTCCAGTTGCAAAGTGTAGTGGAAAAACAAATGAAGGTGATGAGAGATCAGCGCAAGACATACAAGAAAAATCCTTCACTAATAAAATTCTTATGCAAAAATTGCTCCAAGTCGATATGTTCTGGAGAAGACATACAAGTTATTGAAGACATGCATCATGTTAGTGTGAAAAAAGATTTCCAGTAAGTGTTTATGAACTACTTTATCTCTTTCAGGCAGAAACAGATTTTCTTTTCATCGAGGCTGTAACAGGGCCTGTAACCCTCTAGGCCCTGTGAGAAAAAAATAGATTGTTCCAATATTGTTGGGTTCTAGGCTCTATGGAGTTTACAGTTAAGGAGCTTGAACAAAATGTTTGTTCTTATTCCTGATTTCAAAGTGAATTGAGTTTAAGACTCCAAAAGAAAGAAAAGCCACTTCTGTGATACTATAAACTAGGTCACTTACTATGTAGTATGGTATGAATTCCTTTCTGCACAGGCTAATAGTAACTTTCAGGATCAAGTAGTCCCTAAATAAATGATTCAAGAATGTACACATACTCTGCAGGTCTGCATAGTCAGAACCAAATGATTCTGTTAAGGGTTAAACTTGAACTACAGGGAATAAAAAGAAAACCTTTTATTTTCAGGTATTATTTTGTTGACAGTTCCATGGCACCTGAAAAAAACAAGATAGTTCTGCCTGTTGTTAGAACAAGAGCCTGCTGCTCCCACTTTAAGATGTGTGAGGGCAGATGCAGCTCCTGAAATGCAATGAAGAGGGATATGGAGTACATGTGTATTTCATTATTACTTAGGAGCATGAAGCATGACCTTGCATTTTCACAAACAGTCAGAGAGTCTATAACTTATTAGGTTTCATATCTGATTTCAGCAGTCTTACTCACTGTTTATATATGTCTGTATGTAACATGGAATGACCAATGGATTCTGATGGGTGCTGTCTGTTTTTCAGAAATCTTTATCATATAAGAGAAAACAAAACACTGCAAGATAAGCATGCTGATTACCAGACAAATGGGGAAATTATATGCAAAGACTGTGGACAAGTGAGGAACATCTTATTTTCATACTCTTCTTCTTGTCTGTACTTGTTTCTGTATAGTGGTCTTGTCTTATTTTATCTGAAATGTGATATCCTTCTGCTTGCAGGCTTGGGGAAATATGATGGTTCACCGAGGTCTTGACCTGCCTTGTCTAAAGATTAGAAATTTTGTGGTTGTGTTTGCAGACAAGAAAACAACAAATGGTATTTTTAAGAAATGGGGAGACCTGCCCATTAGGTTTCCTAGTTTTGATTATGCAGCTCATTGTCCTTCAAGTGATGAAGATTAAGGACTTGGAATGAAAATAAAAGCCCTTTTCAAATTCTCTTTGTTGATCAGAAGTTCCTGTGTTCCATAGAGAATGCTGCGTCATGAGCACTGTGAAAGCTCCTGGACATAAGGCAACTGTCTTGAAGACAAGCGAAACAAGAAAGAAGAAGGACAAAGTCACACAGCTGCTATCTGCACTCTGATTTGTACTCCTGGATAAAGATGGCAAATGCATTGTAGTCATATGTATTTATGGAACAAACTTCTGTCTCTTTTCACTACAGAATGACAACACTGTCCAAAGCGTGTTAGATGACCTGTTGTCTTTCCCAGAACATTGAAAAGAGACCTTAAGATACACCATGGTCATTATTTTCTTCATGCTGTAACCATTTTGAAGATAAAGTATCTCAAAAGAGGAGCTAACGTAAAGAAGATATTACCCATTATTTCTGAATCACTGTTGCTACATCAGTGTTTCATGACTGAATTCCTCCCTTCATATAGCTGAAAGCTCACACACTTTGACAAGACTAAAATTAGGTTTCCCTTAGAAGACATTACAAGAATCAAGCCCTTAACATGAAATTGATTCTTTTAGTGTCCAAGATGCACATTGCCAAAGTGACTGTGTGTCAGTTTCATAGGATTGTTAGCCTGGCTACATAATGAGGTCTGTATTTTTTTCAATAAATTGCTATAACTAACTTTTACCAGCTGTGATACTGTTAATTCTCTCCCGCTGGAAGAATTTAGAAGGTAATAATACCATAGCTTCACCCTAGAAATGTAAAGTATGATAGTATTCTGACTGTAAAAATAGCATAATGATTCTCCATATATATCTCATGAACAGATTTGTCCCCCCCTCATCCCCCCCCACCCTTTGCAAGTAAGATATTGGAGAGTGGAAGGAAGGTTTATTTGTTGTTACAACAGTAACTGAATTAATTATTAGAATACCCAATTGGGAAATCATCCAGATATCATTCATCATCTAGATCATCTCTGGATTTCTTTATTAATGAGTTGTTACAGGTACATAAATGCAATATAATACACAGCATTTTCAAGTATCTGAATTAGTTTATTCAGTACTTCTAAATAAGTGTAAAACACTGGTAAAAATACTACATTTCATAGACTGCTGCTGGGTCTTCAATCAAATACATTTCCATGCTGAGTAGACTTTCTGAAATCTGAAGTATTTATACTTCCCTTTACTGAAGTAACAAAAGTATATGCAGATAAATTTCTGCACATGTGCTACAGACCTGTGTGACAAGCATACCTGGGCTTCTTGTAGTTCACCTGGGTGCTGTTGTTATACTCCCAGTTCCTAGCGTGACTCTGCCACATTGTCACCAAAGCTTAAAGAGTGTTTGCACAATCTCACTTCAGCATAATGCATAATGAACCTCATATTAATCCTGCTGGTGTGTAGGGTAACAAATTTCCAGTCAAGTTATTTTCTCTGAATGGGGTTGTAAAACACACCCATATTGCCCATCCAGGAAGTGTGAATTTGTAAAAAACAATCTAACTTGCTTATCTTCTGCTTAGCTCTGCTTTTATTGCCTTTAGGGACCCAACATCCATCAGGGAGTGTGGCAAATCCTGATTGTATTTACCACTTACAGCTTTTATTAGTTCACAGATGTGGAAAGAAGAAAGTCATTGAGGTTTTGTCTAGCTGTGTGTGTGGCTGCTTAAGAACTGGATCCACCTGAGTTGTATGTTCACTGCTGTGTCTCCTTTGGTTTGATGTCATGCACAACCTACATCTGTAAATCTACATTTCCTTATACGTGAAGAGTAAATACTTTAGTAACCTTTGAGTAGTTGCATAACTGGTTAGATAACTGCTGGCCAAACTGAGTATGTTTTCCATAATTTGTCCAGTTCTCCAAGTGACTTATTCTCTTTCTACCTTTCTTACACTTTTATTTCTTAAGAGAATGGGTTCCTTTTGTTGCAGAAGTTAGGAGGAGCTTAGCTGTTGAGAGAGCTGCTGTTTGCTTCTTCACTGGTGCTAGTCTAAACAATCCAGAGAATTCAGGCATCAGCAGCAGTTCTACAAAGCTTGTAAATGTCATTCTCTGACAGGTCATTTTTTTCTTCTAATCCATGGCCATTGTGAATCTTATGAAAACTCATGCCTAAATAATTTGATTTCTGAAGTAGACAAATACATAGTATGCAGTATAAAGTCATTTTGTAAAGCTTTTTAGATCATGTGAGATTGAATCATTTCCTTTGAAGCATTCTTTAAGTATGCATTCATTAGAAGAAGCTGCATATTTGGAATGGAAAACTAGCCTGATCAAAAACCTACATTTGCAATTTTGTGATGTTCTGGTTGTCAGAAATAGCCAGTGTTGGTAGGAAAATGTTTTTTTCTTTGTGATACTCTGTAATAAATTCTTTGTAGTTAGCCCAAGTTCTGCTGGAAAATTTGGTGTGAGAAAACTTACCTACTAGATTTTCAATTTTCAGAGAAGACAGAGGATTTGCTAAACCCATTAATTACTGAATTTCAGTAAGATCTGGTTACTTGGTCCTTGTTAACCCCCTCTGAAAAATCAGGCCCAGTGCTTGACTTTCACACAGAGGTCCCTACATAGGAAGGAGACTCCTTTCCTCAGAGGAAAATGAATTCTGTCCCAGCAGGGAGAAAGGTGAGGTGAGTCATCAGACTCTGCATGCAAAATGAACACACTGAAGCCCAACCTGCAACTTCCAGTCACCAGCCCTAAGTTTTATGTGAATATTCTGTCAGATGTGGCCTTCTTTGGCAGGTGACATTTCCCACGTGTGTGGTGTATATGTGTCTGTGTGTATATGTATATGTATGTACATACGTGTATGTCCATCTGCGTATGTGTCTGTATGGTGTCTCTGTGTCCCTGTGTGTCCATGTCCCTGTGTCCATGTCTCTGTGTGTGCCCATGACCCTCTGAGTGTGTGTCTGTATTGTGTCTATGTCCATATGTATGTGTGTGTATTTTCTGTGTCCCTGTGTATGTCCATGTCCCCGTGTGTGTGTCCATGTCCCT